AGAAATTACTCAGTTTAGATGACCAAAGCACAGTAATAGCTTCATTTTCTGTTGCTGGCATAACCCTACAAGGGCAGGCAAATCCTAAGCAGTACTGAGACTGATATAATATTTTCAGATTATTTTTCCTTTTAAAAAGGGCTTTATTTAAAGTACTGGGGTTTCTCCCTCCTGCCTTCTAGAATAAAACCCCCACAAATTTATGATCAAAATTATTTCATCGAGACCCTACAGTGGGGCACCTCAAGTTACCCGGGTAATTACACGGAGGTACTCCAAGTAAAGCTTCCTGGTTTTGCTCTCAAGGACAAGAAGGCAAGCTGTGTTTTAGATTACCTTCCTGCTCAGAGCACACAACCTATGCCCGCATACTAATGAAATGCCTATCTGGTACCCAAAGAAGTTAATACTCCTATGCAGCTATGGCAAGTAGAAAATATTGCTACAGTGCCAGATGTTCCCCTGAGGAAAATCACTGTAGGATCACTTCACAGAAGTATGCTGACCATTCACCTGCTGCCCTCTGAGCCTCTTGCTCTCTGTTCCTTATCGAGACTGCCCAAGTGAGAAAATAACTTCCAGAAATCCACCAGCACATTGATTAAAACATGACACGCACCAAAGGAATCAGATCTGCCTGAAACACACTCTCATGCTGGCTGCAGACTGTATATAGGATGGCAAGGACAAATAACCTGACACTGCAGCTTAATGATACTGCTTGCTCTTCCAGCTGCTTTCTCATTTGGTTTTGTTTGATTATTTCTTAACTTTAAGAAGGTCAACTCTGGAGGCAACTCCCCCCTAATCTGAAGCCTCCCAAAAGCTGCCTGTACAAGCCTCAGGGAATCGCAGAGCAGTAACACTGATGCTGATCAGGTTTACATTCTGGTTTGGATGTCGCCTTTTGGATGCATTGGCTGTGTAGACAGTGAGACTGCATCCACGGAGAGCAGAGAGCCAGAACCTCCCGTGGCTATGGCTCAAGTTCATATCCTGAAATACAGCAATGAAGAAGACAGGGCAAATATTCTTCCCCCTTAAAACCTTCAGATCATCTCAATTATTTGTGAAATTTCTTGCCAAATTATCCTATGAAGTGCCTGTTCTTGCAGGCTCACTCCCTGGCTCCTAGCAGTGCAGTCCAACAGCTGACCATTTGCTTGCTGAGCTGTCCAACCCTATTTTGCACATCACTTCCATTTAATTATCACCTCCAGAACAACTGGACCACCAGATTTTTTCACAAGACTACACCAGAAGATATTTTAGACTTGAGTGGTTATGGTGCTTACACTGTGGAGCACAAGCAGAAATAACATGCTGAGTATGACAGATCCCTACAGAGGACCCAGAGAGAAGAAGCTCCAATCCAGCTGACATCCTAAGCAAGCAGAGAACAGCTCCCAGAAGCCAGTGAGACGGAAGAAAACACTGAACATTGTGTCTCTCATTTAAGGTAAGAGCAGAAGGTACCCCTTCCCTTTGTGTGGAGCTGTCAGTCCACCAGAATATTGAGTCATTTAACAGGATACCTCAGGGACAAGGAAAGGATGAACAGTCTTGCTCGCTCCTACACACTGTGCCCTGAACACCTGTAGCCTTCACACAGTTTTACAGAGAGAGGATCCTTTTATCTTTTCTTCCCTCTCAAGCACATGTAACCCAGACATGTTCCATCCCAAAACAGTCCGCCCGCAGTAATGGTCCTTTATAAAATATTATATTGAAAAATCACTTTTACAAATTGAGTACCTCTTTCGACCTCATTTTTTAATGTCTGGTATGGATTTCTATAAATCAATTATATCACTGGATTTATGAAACATATGTTCTTATACATAAGAAGCTTAAAATCCAAATTTGATAAGTCTGTGTCTCAATATGTTTTACTAGTGAGGCACCCGAGGTTTATTCTAACATTTAAGAAAAGAAAAAAATCTTGGTATAGAGTCTAGAGTCATGGACTGAAGTCAGAAATCCAGAGCTTCAGGCATTCCAGAGCTGCCTGATGTGCTAGGCAGAATGAATCTGTGCTCCTAGAATATGGGGAAAGCTATGACTGATTATGCTGCAACACTTTACCAGGAAGAAAACTGGTCTGACTTATGCTTTTGCTTTCAGTCTTTAACAAAGTGTTCGGAACTATCGATGGTTTGCATTTGGAGAAGGAAAAAAAAAACTCAATTGAAAAACAAAGTCTACTGTCACTTAGACCAAAGAATCAAGAATAAATTTCACCTAGCTGCTCCTTAAAGAAATCAGAACAATAATAGCTGCCTACAAAAACACTACCTTTTGGAGTGCAAAATAATGACTGAATAGATGGTGTAATCTGATAGCAAACAACCAGACTGAATAATTTTCTTACATAGCTCTGAAAAATCAAGATATGTCTAATGAAAATAGACTCATCATTTCATTATTCAAGCACAAAAAATGCAATAGTAGAAAAATGAATGCCCGGATTGCTATCAAGAGGGTGTTTTATGGGCTGTAAGCCACTTGCTTTGTGGGTTATTCAGCAAAATGCTTTAATATTAGACTTATCATTTTATTTTAACTCTCATTTCTTAAAGATCCTACTATCATGTTTTTCACCCAGACGATTTGACTGCATCCCTGTGTAATTAGGGAAATGCAGAACTGCAGCCAAGGAAGCACCTAATGACGGGGTGCTGCTCAGCTCTGCAAAGGCCCTGCTCAAGGAGGGTGGATGGAGCAGTTTTCTCCAAGCCTGGCTATGCCTAACCCTTGTTCACACAAGGATGAAGAACTGGAGTCTCTCTCTCTCTGTTCAGCTTACACAAACCCCAGGAAAACTTGCAGCCCTGTCCCTGTGTGACTATATTGATGTCTACGTATGAGAGATTTAGTAGTTTTATTAAAACTGTCGAAAGCAGAGTGAGGGCTTTAAAAGACACAGTGAAATACCTGTAAGCTGGAATCCTCTACAGATAAGAACCTGAGCAACCTGCGGGTGCTTTACCCTTGACAGACACTGCATATACTTGCTGTTTGTCAAGCAGTGAGTAAAAAAGCTTTCCAACACGGCGCTAGGATAGTAGCGTGTTTAGCTGGAGCAATAAAGTTGTTTTGACACACTTAACTGATGAAGTTGTTGAGGAAGGCAAGCTGTTTTGACTCTGGATGTCTGGTAGTTCTTGGTGAGGTTGAGTGAAGACACAGTTCTTGTCAATTAAGCACGACACGAAAGCAAGTCAAATTGCTCTGAACCAGGACAATGTGGTGTGTGAGCTGACAGTGGAATTAAAGGTACTCCAGGTGGGTAGGTACACAAATGAGCTGGCTGGGAAGGGAAAAATGGACGACGAAAGAACGACTCTGGAACTACTCCCTCAGGTGACATTCTGATGCCTACCATTTGGTTTCTCCCTGATGGGACCATGAGCCAGACAGCTTTGGGCACATTTGACTAACAGTACAGTTTTGGGTTTTAGTTGGACAACTAGTTAATTTGCTGGATTTTTTTGCTTTTGCTGGGCAGAGCTGCCAATACTAACTGAATAAACTGTGTGGTGGAAGAAACCTTGACCATGGAGAGGCAGCCAAGCTCACCATGGGCTTTGTCCCTCTATGACATGCAGTAGCTTGAAGAGGCATGCAAGGAGAAGGACTGAGGTGGGGGCAGCAGTTCCTCTTCATCTGCAGGAACTGTACCTGTACCCGATAAAAGCTATTCCAGGATGGAGTGCAACAGCCTTGAGGGGTAGGAGACACTGCTCCTGCTGGGCTGTACAGCTTGACACCCCCAGCACAGCAGCTCTGCCATGGCCTTCGCTGTGCCCAAAGGCAGAACTTGGCTTCACTTTGAGCTACCTTCTGCTGCATCTCCTCACCCAAAGCAAAGCCTTGTTCCACAGAAGGTTCTCTGAACTCACACAAAGTACTGTAAGTAATCCAGGAGTAAGCACTAGCAGGTAGAATGCCAAGAGAAGGTACTGCTTGGGGAGTCCTTGTCATAACCTGGCCTTTGTTGTAGCTCAAAAAACAGTCTTCAGCCTCCACCTCCCATGTGAGATATGGGGGTATTTTTGGCTGTAACGAGAGAGCAGTGCCCTGGCGACCTCAGTTGTGCTACATGAATATGAGAAACACAATTCTTGGTTCAGCCATTTACAGCGGTCAAGAGTGGCAAAACCCCCTGCTGATATCCTCATTCCCTCTGCCCAGGTACAAATGACTGCAGATGGGGCAACTGAGATGCAAACAAATGCAAATGAAGAGAAACATTTTACATTTCAATAACCTCAGGGAGGAGAAGGCAGGGTTGGTGGGGAAGTGATGTGTTTACACATCACCTGAAAATTTCTCTGTTTGCTACAGCAGGTGTAAGGAAAGAGTGGGTTTGTTAAATACACGGACTTTTTCGTCCATCCATTCAGGTCAGTCAAAATGATCTTTTTTAAATGTATGTTCCAGTGATGAAGAAGGCCTAATGCTTAATTAAAATGGTTTTCTAGTGACTGGACTATTGAACATACTTGCAAAGCAAAAGTTAACTGAACTATTCAATGCAAAGAGTAACTACCTGACAACACTGCTGTAGTCACCATCACGACTCTATTATACAGATTAGTCACTATTGACAAAATATTTTCGAACCTAATGAATGTAAGTGCAATAATGAGCTGTGCGTTTCTGCCTCTCTAATAAAGGGGAAACACGACATTTATGCTCAGAAGCCCCAAGACAATTGGCTTGTTACAATAATTAAAATCTGTCAGAGTTAAGATCAGTAGGATTCTGTGTCCACAGGGACAGGATTTCTCAAGCAATAGCCCGAGACCAGCAGACAGCCACGGCTTTACTTTGGCTAAATCTCCGATATAATAGTTCTTAATTGTGCTTTTAGAGTAAGAAATTTTAGAATAAACCCCAGTAATTTTATAGTAAAAACATATCCTCCCCCCAAAACTCACCATTTGCTTACAAAGTGCTGCTCTTCCTGAACACCTATGGGATATTAACAACTGCAGCCAGCTGTGACCAGCGATACACGGAGAACGTGTATTATGCTACAGCTGGAAGATATACAGATTGTGTCTTTAGTCACACACACAACTTTGCCAACAGTTAAAGCCGGTACCAAGTTCAGCGGCCAGGCGCCGCGAACGCCCGGCTCTCACTCAGCATCTCCATCAGGCCCGCTGCTTTCGGGGCCCTGCGCCGCCTCTCCCGGTACCGAGCCACTCTCCCGGCAGGCGCATCCCGGCGCGGTGGGGGCGCGGGCAGCGCTGCTCGGGGATCCGCCAGCCCTGCTCGCTCCTTCGGACCGACTGTAAGAAACCCAGCCGCCGGCAGCAGAAGTTTAATGGGTAGGAACGGGACCCCCGACGCCGCCGGCCCGGGGCACCGACGGCCGGCGGTCCTGCGAACCCGCGGGAGCCGGAGCGCTGCGGGGCGGGAGAAGCGCCGGTCCCCGGCTCCGCGCAGCGGGGCGGGCGGCGCGACCGCGACTCGCCGGGATGGGAGGTGAGCGGGGGGACACAGGGAGCCGGACGCCCCTCTACTGCGAGGCCCCCGGTTGTCACAGCAACGCGGCAGCGCCTCTCCCCAAACTTTGGTCGCTATAACGACCGGGCCGCGGCCGCGGCATCCCCCGGGCGGGCGGTTCTGCGCCGCGGGGCCGTCGGGGCGGCGCTCACCTATGGTGGAGACGACGGTGCCCACGAAGTAGAAGGCGCCGGGGAAGTCCCAGCGGGGCCGCAGGGCGTCGACGCGGATGCCCGCGGCCATAGCCGCCTCGTAGCTCCGCAGGAAGGCGCGCAGCTCCGGCAGGCTGATGTTGAAGATGCGGCTGAAGTTGTGCAGGGTCCGGTTCCAGCGGAGCTGCGCCGCCGCCTCCGACGGGCTCTCGAGGGCCGAGAAGACGGTGGCGCCGGCGCTCAGGTACGCCGCGATGAGGGCGGCCAGCAGCAGGAACCGCCCGTTGTCCTCGTTGAGGGGCGCCAGGCGCCGCCGGCGGCAGGAGCCCGCCGCCCCCCGCGGGGGCATCATCCGGTGCGCGGCGCGGCGGGCGCGGCGGGCGGCGGGCGGCCCCCGGCGGGGGGCGCGGGCATGGGGCGGCGCCGCGCGGAGCCCGGAGCGGCGGCGGCGGCGGCTTCGCTGCAGGGGCCGCGGCTCTGAGTCATCCCCCGGCGGGGCTGCCCGCCCGGCTGGCGGCGGCGCCCCGGGGCCGCTCGGCTCGCCCGCCCGCCCTCAGCCCGACGCCCCGGGGCCGGGGGCTGCTGCGGCGCGGGCTCGGCGGCGCGCCCCGGCCGGCTCGCTCTGGCCATGCGGGGCGGCGGCGGCGGCGGCCCCGCCGCGGGGGAGACGCCGCGGGGAGGCGGAGGCGGAGGCTCCGCGCGGCGCCCGGTCGACGGCGGGCGGAGGGCGGGAGCGTGCGGCGCGTCCCCCGGGGAGCCGCATCCCCGGCGGGAAGGCTCCCCCAGCTCCGCCGCCGCCGGTGCCGCCCGCCCGGGCCGGGCCGCCCGAGCCGCCGGTGCCGCGCCCCCGGGGCGCCGCCGCGCCCGGCCCGGGGGAGGGATGGGGCGGGACGGGGACGCCCTGCCCGGCCCGGCCCAGCCCTGCCCGCCGCTCCCCAGTTCTCCGCTGCCACCGCGGTCCCGGCCGGTGGCCGCCCCCCCGGGCGCGCCCGGGAAGCAGGGACACGGGAAACGCGACCGCTCCCTCGCTGTGTGTGCGATGCGCCTTTGCCGCTGCGGGGGTTGTTTGGCTTTGAAAACATTTCTCTCGTGCCCCGTGCCAAGAGGGGTGTTTTTAACGGAGTGGGTGCCGGTCGGTGGAGCGCTAATTAATTAATTTTAGTCATTTCTAGGTGCGCGAATCGTTGTTTCTGATCTGACTCCAGATTTTGGGCTGCACAAAATTGGACCCAAGAAAATGATAAATTTTGGGTTCGGTGCCAAATGCCCATTCAATCTTAGCCACTGTATGAAAGGTGGCTTCGCCCGTTCCCCCCCCCCCCCCCCCCCCCCCCCCCCCCCCCCCCTCAATCTGGTGTATTCTGTCTTCGCTGTTTGCCTTGGAATAAACACTGTAGCCTTTCTTATCTGTTACGCTGCAGTAAGAACTGCAGTCCTTCCCTGGTAGACTTGAAGTAAATAATTACATTCGTATTTTTTAAATAAAACGAGAATTCACACTGATAAAATATTGCAAAGAGATGGGAGTGATGCCAGTCCTGCAAACGTGTGTGTAGGGGATGATAACACGTGTAGGAAAGATCTGGGCTTGGAGGAGCAAATCCTCCCCACGATTTACAGTTGCCAGTGTCAGTCTCACTGCAACGGGAGCTTGTGTCCTGGTTTATGGTTTTTTATAGCCTAAGTTCTATTTTTTTAATACAGGAAAATATTTGCTGTCTCTAGGTAGCTACTTGATGTCTTTTAGAAAAGGGCTATTTGCCATCACTAGGACTTCTCCATAGCTGTTCTTCACACATTTATTTCTTATTTTGGATCTGAGAGATTATGCTTGGCCATGAAATTTCACATTACTGGCAGTTATCTCTTGGCCACATCTGTAGTGGGAGAATTTCCTCCTTTTCTAGCAGACCGTTTATACTTGTCAGGTGAAGAAAATAGCTTGTGTTTACAACTATGCTTCCTAGGAAAAGGCCACTGATAAAATGCGAATACTTAGTTTACAAAGTACTCAAGTATCATATTTTGATAGCCACTAGCATGTTTAAACTTTGGTTTTTGCCACTATTGCTTTTGTGCTAAAGCATTTTTTTCAGAAGTGAAAGTGTTTAGAAGTATCAAAGAAGATTTCCATCTTCTGTTGTGCTCAAGGCAACCAATACCACATGCAACTCTTAAGAAAAAAAGTGTCTCCTATTTCAAAGTGTCAGTTGTGTCCCATTATAAATACTAAAACTAAGTAAAAATAAAATAATTAAACCAATAAATCACAAACCCAGTAGCTGTGAGAAGTAATAGTAGATCTCAAGGGCAAAAGAAGCAGAAAAAAAAACTGGCAAAGTATATCTGGACTAATCAAAAGCCTATTGAAATGAGTGGAAAGTCTCTCATGGATCATCAAGGGCTTAATGTAATAGGTCAGATATGGACCATTTAATGACAATGTCTATAGTTAGAAATAATTTCCACTCTGGTAATCCAGGAATGATTACATGCAATCCACTGTGCTAGAGTATGTAAAACTAAGCTAATTTATCTGAACATGCAGGAATTTTGTTGCTGTAGATGGATATTGGGCTTTGGATTCCTGGTACTTTTGTGTTTGCAGGGGAAATGAGACTGGTTGGTTGGGATTTTTTGTTGTTGTTCTTTTATATTTTTCCTGTTGGAAACATTGAAAAAGGAGAGCCCAGTTTTCTGGAGTCCTCAGCAATTTTACCTACTGTGAAAGGTCAGTGATGTTTTTAGTGAGAAGCCAGTTAGCGAAGTTTGTGTAACTCGTATTCTCATCATTCTGTTCATTGTCCCTTCTTGGGTGATGGCAGGGCCATAGATGGGGATGAAAAGTTGTCTGTTTCCTTAGGTGACAGGGCTGAGTCTTTTCCAAGCAGTCGAAGCCGACTGACTCTGTGGTGGCCTCTCTGGAGATATCCCGCCTGGGAAAGGATGATGCTGGTGGGATGCTGATTAGCTTGAGGAATCACATAATAGATAGGAAAGCATCCAGTAACTTTCCATGAAGAAAAAAAAACTAAGCTGAAGCAGCAAGGAATGTGGTTTAGCTGCTTCAGCATGGACAAGACAATATTTCAAGCATCACCGAATCATGGTTTCTAAGAATTCTAGCTGTTGACAGATTTTCAAAATGTTTTGACAACTCATTTCACTAAAATTTTTTTACTTGGAGTCTTGAAAATTTGTCACCATTTTGCAAAAATACTTCAGATTTTTTTGGTTATAAAGGTAGGGGAAAAAAGTCTATTTTTTTGCATTAAAGTCCCACAGAAAATGTATGGTCCTTTCCAAAGTAACTAACTCCTGGAAAAGCTCCATTAGCTGTACACAAATCCCCCAGAGCTACAGGACTGTGGCTTAAAAGAAGGTCATGGCTTTGATTGCTCTGATCCAATACCAGGATTTGTTTGAGGAAACATCCTGAAGCTGCTGCTGCATCCCTACTTGGGCAACTCTCTTAAAGGCAGTTATATGGTTAAATGAATGATGTTTTTATAAATTTTCTTGATTAATTGAATCAAATCTCGAGGGATTTGGTGAAAACATCACTGTGTTTAAAACCATTTGCCTAGGATTTTTTTAAAAGCTGATAGTCAGCTGTAAATTGGGTTTTATGCTCAAATTGAGCCCCTGCACTGTGGGCATATTGTATAGATGGCACCAGCCATTTTGTTTGTCAGGAGGCCAGTGTTTGTGAAAGGGATTATTTTAATAATCCAAAAGTGATGTTTACATTATTATCTCAGTTGATTAGAGTGAAGCTTATGCAAAGAAATGAGATGCATTCATTAAATGTTTAATTAAACTGTTGTCTGAAAATAGGTTGGAATATTAAACATCCCACCTCATTATTAAAGAATAAAATTTAATATGGTATTTTAAATCTGAAACAGCCCAGTTACTGCTATTCCTTTCAAGGGAATAGTTATCTTTTTTTTTTTGTGTGGGTAGAATCCTTAAATACTCAACCATAGTTTGACTAAGTGATTTTACAAGCAACCACATTTTTTGACTTCAGGGATACCAAGACCTCCACAGTTGTATTCTTGATTCCAAGACAAGCTTTTGCACATACATGTCCCTACTGACTTTGCAGCAAATATCTGCTGAGAAACAAATATCAAGTACATAATTTAGGAGCTTTTTACCACTATATTGCCATGGAAGTGTCCCAAGTATTTATTTGGAAGTGTCTCAGGCAGTTGGAATGTGAACATGCCATACAGTCCCTGACCTGAAATGTACAGCTTGTTTGGAGTAGCTGGACATACTTTCTACCTTGACAGTGCCCAAAGACAAATAGATTTGTAACTGTTACTGCTGGAATTGATGTGCAGATGTTCTTATGTTGCTCTTTATACAGCTCAGTATCGACTGTTTAAAGTAGTTTTTGTCTGTAATATGTGCCAAAGAAATTACTTTTCAATGAGTGGCCTTATGGTTAGCCTGGGTGCTCAACAAACTTCGTGGGCAATGAGATTGCCCTCTTCTTCAGTTGTACCTCCTACTGGATTTAGGAGACAGTCTCTTTGGTATTACTCTGTAATTAAAAGAAATGGAAGAGGTAGTTGGTAGTCTATGCAATCAGGGCCTGGGTAGCATTGTGAGCAAGGGTTTCGGTCACAATCCATAATAGAAGTGAATATGCCTATTTTTTAAGGTGGAAGCCTGGATACTTTGGGATAGAGGGTGAGACCTTCCCGGTACTCTACTTAAGTACAGATTGGGACAGTGAAAAATATACTAACTGCAAAGTATTAGGGGGAGAATGTGTGTTTCCATGGAGCCTTAGATGTTACTAATGTCTCCTCACCCTCTCAGGGCACTTTGGTAGATTTTGAAGCAAAAGACCAGCGTTGTGACCCAAATGGCTTTTTATGTTCTCGTGTCTCCCCTCTGAATTAGGGTGACCTTTCGGGGAGGGGAAAGAGAAAAAGGCAGGCTTGTAACTGGTCTTGAAGCCATGAGTTACCTGTTGCAGACAGATGGGTTGAAAACCAAGACATCTTATGGATTGACAAGCAGGTGGTCCACCTGGACTCTTGGGATGAAACTGTTGTCAGGTACCTGGGCTGTGTAAGCCCTAGTTGCTCTGTCAGTAACACTCTGTCTTTCATGAGAGCAGAGCTGAAGAAGCTGATGAGATGAACTTGAGAATCCTTTGGGAACCGTATCTTGTACTCCCAATCTCAAAATCAAGTCAGGGTCAGAGGTAGGAGTTAGCCATGTGCAGGTTTTGATTTGCTAGTTCTCACTGCCAGGGGATGCTAAGCTGTGTCGAAATAGGAGTACTGTTAACCAAATAGGTGGGTTTTTTACTAGGAGAATGTTTCTGCATGTTTAAGAGAAACAGAAAGCATTTGCTGTTTAAGTCAGAGATTCCTGCATTCTTCCTGCTAATTTATGAATAGTTATGCAATGTCTTTTTTTTTTTTTTTTATTTTTCCTGAGGCCCAGTCATCTAACTACACTTTCTCACTTTCGCTACTCTCACTCAGAGAATGATCTAATAAGCACTGGCAATTACATTCAATTTAAATGTGATGAATAGCCAATTTCCAAAGGCCTGATGCCGTATAATGCTCTGAGCATCCTGATCACATTAATATGTTCTCACTTGCCTTTAATGTCAACGGAAGCTGGAGGCACCCTGCGTCTTGTGCAGGTAGTTCTGTATTCAGATGACTTCTTTTCCTCCCAGTCTTTGGTGGTATGAAATTTTGTATTTTATGGGAAAACCTTCCACTCTGGTGGCTTATGCTCTTTCTGCATTAGTTGTGCTTATTTGTTTTCTATTCTTTCTCTGTGCGGGAAAATCTCAGTCAGTGTTTTGGCATGCAAAGGATTTTTAATACATTTTAATAATGGAAAGCTACTGTTCTATACAGCTGAGGGTGATGCAGTTGTGTAATATTCCTGAGACCCTACAAAGGATAATTTCCGAATGCAGACCTCACTGTTGAGTTCGTGTAGACTATTAGGCAACAAACCAGTTACCTTCTTGGGTTTTTTTGGATCTTACCTTGTTCAGCATAACAGGAACGTGGCCTTTCAGAAGACATCAGCATTCTTCAGCTCTCCAAGTGAACAGCTGAATTCTTGAAAGGACTGAATGGCCAGTTGGGCATTTCTGCAACATGTCATTTCTCTTGACAAGAATTTGGAGGAAAGAAGACAAGCTCTTTGTAAACCTTTCTGTTGAGATGAGAGAGGTGGCCCCTGTGTTCTGTAGCTGAGGTTTAGAGTGCAGAGGGGAGGGATGGATGGACAGATGCATGGATGGATGGGTGCAGAAACCTATGGAATGGGATTGGTGCAGCTCCTGAGAAATCTGCATCCTCCAAGTCCATGCATGCCTGTGTACCGATGAGCTGCAGGGAGCTTGCCAGGAAGGGAATTAATTTTAGGGTGTGATTTGGAAAATGATTCAGTTTAAAAATTGCTATTTTTGATGGGCTACTTTCAGCTGGGATCCAGTCCTCAGCATGTTCCCAGAAGTACTTGCCTTGCTGCAGCAGAGCGTGGTGAAGAGTGGAGGAGGAATGTCTGTCTGGGAGCCCGGAGTCCTGAATCTCGTGATGCTACTGAGACAACAATGATGGGAATGAGTCCTCCTTACATTTCATGTCCCTTCCTGCATTTGACAGGTGAGTGCTTTAACCTAGCTGGTTTGATGGACATGGCAAAGGTAACTTTCCCACTCTCCCTAGGGGTTCACTATGCTCAAGGGAAGGTGCAGGCATGTGGATCTGGAAATGGGGCTGCCGGGCAGACAAAGCTGCAAGACAGGCAAGTCTACATATCCTGTATATATAAAAGTCAAGGACAGCTTGAGAAATTGTCAGAAAAAGTCGTGAAATGGCAAACAACTTTATCATGCCATCTGAAGATACACTGTATGTGTTTTACGGACCCTGGGGCTACACAGTTCCTAGAAATCTCTCCAACCAGTGGCATTGAAATGAAACCTGCTAAGCTGACACTCACTCCATCAGGATGAGGCTTTACAGAAGTTCAGGACAGGCAGCCTTTGATCACAGCACTGAAGAAAATATTGGCAATCCCTTTGGCCTGCCAGATTTGTTTTCTAGAATGAGAAGCTTCAGAGCGCGATCCTTGCTGATTACAACTGTCAGTTATCAACAGACAGGTCAAAATGTCCCTTCTGCCCGGGATTTGTCCCTCTTCTTTTTTTCAGGTACGTGCTGGCTGATGGTCCTCTGAGACCATTTACCCTGCTAAACTTTTCCTAAGCAGGTTCCACTTGTGACTAGGCAACTTCATACAATTTGGTTTGTTCTCGAGGATGTGTGGAGTCAAAGCATGTGGCTCTGGTTCTCATGCAGGTATCAGGACTGCTGATATTTTTGGGAGCATTAGCATTCATCACATTAGCATTAGCATTCATCACACATTTATTGGTACCTGACCCAAGGCTCCTGGCAGTGACCGGCTGGTGTGTTTCCTGGGCCGTGGACCAGATGAGACATATGTGTGAATGTGTGCATGTGTGTGCATGCAGATAATTTCCCTTGCATTAATAAAAAAAGTGAGCCTACAGTTGGTTGATCATCAGTGTATCCATCCAATGTATGGCAACTTGTGTTGAGTAACCAACTTTACACAAGGTCTCATTTTCACTCCCTCCTCTCTCTTTTGTTGAGCATTGCTAAGAAGTGGAAGCATGGATCATTTTCTGAGTTGCTTCCCTGCTCCTGTTCACCTTCTGACATGCAGCAGGTGAGTAACCCAGTGACAGGCTGTATGGGAAGGCTCTGAGATCCAGCAAGAAGGTTCCCGAGGCAGCAAAGGGGTGCCACTCCCTCTCTGGTTCACCTTGCACACAGCAGAGAGTGTTGACTGTTCCACTGTGTTAGAGGGGAAGAAATGATGGTAAAAAGGTACATTGTGCTGCTTAATTATTATTTCTTTTGGGGGGAATATTTGTATATGAAGAGACATTATGGTACATTCTATATCTAAGAATCAGGCACATAAAAGGAAATCAACATCGTCTTTAGAGCAAATTCTAAGCTTCTCCTAGGAAGCAGAAGGTGAAGAGAATGTGATGGTGAGGAGGGCTCCCTTTTGCAGCTGTCCATTCTTGCTTCTAATGTGGTGAGCAAACAGGGGAATGTATCAAGCTTTAAAAAAAAAGTAAATTCTAGTTTGCTATGTAGAGGGTTTTAAAGGACCTTTCTTTACAGATTAAGGTTTTCTGTTATTTATAGCCACATAAAAGGTGTTTCATCTGTAATACCAATACATTCTTTGTGCATGTTACGAAAGAAAGACAACTGCTGTGCCACTGAGCATGCAAAAATGTGCCAGGGAAAACATTTGGGACCAGAGCCATTTTCATCTCTGGTCTTCTTAGCCTGGAAATGAACTTCAGTCTCCCATTTTCCTATTTTTTGAGATGGCCACTGGCCATATGCACCTAGGCACTAGAGGGAAACAGAATGAAGAAGTTTGGCAGTGTTTTGCAGTCATTTCACAAATGGGCAGTCAAAGTGGTGGAAAGGGAAAGCGATTAAACTTCTTGCAGGGGATTTAATCCACTGTAGGTATACTGTGACCAGTGCTGTCACTTTGGTTTGACACTGGGGTATAATTAAGCCCTTAACAAGTACTTATCTGGTGAAAATTCATCAGTTAAAACAGAAATAAAAATACACAATGAAGAACATACAATATTGAAACCAAGCTACATGGTGTACTTCAGATAAGTAAGAGCTTAGGTAAGGAATGAGGTGAACATAAAAGAATAGTGGGATGAGAAATGCCTAAGAGTGGACACTTCAGAAGTGGAGTAAATAATGGTAACTCTGAGAGCACACGGTGCCTGAGAGATCACCTCTGTAGCTCTGCATCTCTGAGAAGTGCAGGAGGTATGGATGGAGAATAGAAAGGTTTCTGAAAGCTTTCTTTAAAAAGGTTTCTGAAAGCTCAGGCTTAGAGTCTTCTCTGAATATTTCCTCCCAGCTGCACAATCTCCTTGCTGGCCCTTCAGGTTTGTTGACTTCCAGTTATGTGAGATAGTCACCATGGTCTGGCGCAGAGGTTGGAAGGTTTTCAAGCACTGCTTGCCAAACTGTATTTTAATTTTCTAAATCAGAAGTTCAGTGTGCTAATAGATGTTTTGGAGATGTGAGATCTTGTTCCTCGTGAAAGAAAGCTGCCACTGGGCAACTGAGTGTCGTGTTCCCCCAGTAGGCAGGGGCTGTTGGGTTTCCTTGGACTCTCAGCTGTATCTCAAGACAGAGCCATTCCCATTTTGCCATGACTCTGTATCAGGTTCAGCCCCTGTACCTTCTGATGCCACCTTGCTGTCAGCTCCTGACTCCTGGTCTAAGAGCCAGGTCGTCTGATTCAGGCTTAGAAAGCATGGGGGTTTCTCACCGGTTATAAGCTGATTTATTACAACACCTTGACCCACTAATTTCTCTTCCAACTGCCTTGCTTACCCTTCTGACCTTGGTCCTGTTTCTCTCCTTAGGCTGAGAAATATTCCAGAATAGAATGTCTTTTATTTTAATACGTTGTCACAACTGCATTGGAGATTCAATGAAATCATGGCAAGCTTCCCACCATCCACAAAGGAAATAAAAGAGAATCCTGCTGGTGTGAGAACCATTGTACTGGGGAGATCTTGCCATGCTGATAATGATAGAAGAAAAAAATGCTCTGCTGTGAAAAAGATACATTCTAGCAAGCAGTCTTCATTGCTGTCCAAATGCCAGCGTGGCTTATTATTTTCTAATGAAATTAAATATATTTGTGCTCTCTGAAGTTGACTGTGTTGATTTAATTTGTTTTATGATCAAGATTCTAAATTTCATATCTTTTATGTTTTATAAGTAGTGAGCAGGGATTTAGCTGCATGAGGCGTATTAATATCAATACAGTTAACTCCCCATGCACTTTTCTTTAAAGACTATTTTATACATAACAACATGGAATTTCACCTCTATATTTCTCCTAGTCTCTGCAGGAAAAAACAGTGATAGCTAATCTGAAGGCATTATTATTTTTTTATTATTGCTCTCAGAGCAGTAAGCATTTTTTAGTACTCTGAATTTTTCCTGCTGACAAACAGGCAGTGTGTAACATAGAAATCAAATAGCTGCTTTATTTTGTGGTCAAACTGGGGAAAGCAACAGAATGATCTCAGGCAAGAAATCACAGATTATTCTTTATTTTTTGTGATTTCAGTGTGCTGTCTTTAGAGTTTTTTCTTATAGAACTGGAATGCACTAAGTTATGGAGATACTTCTCCAGTCTTAAGTATTATTAGAAAAGGAATATTCACTTTTCTAGAGGAAATATTCTGTGTCTGCTTCCTTCCTCATGAGTAAAAATGATTCAAATACCCTTGAGAATGGGAACTGGGGGAAAAAAAAAGGCATGCTTTCAAAGCAAAAGATGTTAATTTTATTCTTTCCTTGTCCTTACGAACCATGTTTCTGACTTTCATCCCAACCATTAAATTTGTCTCTCTGTACTAAAACACAAATGTCACATCTTAAACACTTGTCCATCCAGGAGAACGGAACAATCTGGGGATGATCCTAGATGATTTTAAGTATTTTCCAGAAGAAGGAAAAGTCTCTCAGCATCACCTGAAGACTGTTGGTGGATCTTGGTCATAACGAGATGTTCTGTTTGAGCTCAGCCTGGTGAGAACTCTTGCCAGAACAGAGTCTGTGCTGTGGGATAAACCAGCTGGCTGGACCCACAGCACGGTGTGCACTTTGTAGGGTGTTATCTGTGGGATCACACCTGTATTGTGCTTACCCTCAAGTAAGAAAACATTACATTTGTCAGAGTTAGGCTTCCTAAAATTTACCTTTCCTGTTTTGACTTGTGATTCAGATAAACAAAATTCAGGTTATTCCGATGGTACTTCACAAGGGTTGGACTCGTGATGGCTCAGTCGCAATTTTCACCTGGTGAAACACTCCTTTTGCTCTGAACTGAGTACATTCCATTTGGCAAGCATGGAGTGTCTCTGAAGCTGTGAGTTTCTGGTCAGGAAGAAGATGGTGCACGGAACCGGTCAATGGTACTGTTGTGTATTAATCCCACTAAGCAAATACTCTCATCTATGATCAAGTACTGAAGTTTTAAGGGGCTATTGCAATAAAACAGAATGTAAATCATCGCCTTAACACAGTATGTAGAAGCTTGCGCCATGGGATTCAGCCTAACAACAAAGTAAATCTATGAATCATCTGGAAATGACTGAGGAGATGAGTGCCTGGATTTTATCAGTTGAGTGTTAAATAATCATGCTCTGCCAGTGTGTGTGCCCAAGTCTCTCTCTATCTCACACACACACACACTGGAAGTGCATAGCTGATGGAGATGTAGCTCAGGAGTTCATTATTTGGCAGTTGTAGGACTTATGAATCCTGAGGACTGCCTGACCTGAAGATACTTCTTCTAGGCTTCATCATATTTACAGAATCGCAGAATCGGTCAGGTTGGAAGGGATCACAGTGGGTCATCTCGTCCAACCTCCCTGCTCAAGTAGGGTCATCCCAGAGCACATGGCACAGGATTGTGTCCAGGTGGTTCTTGAATATCTCCAGTGAGGGAGACTCCACAACCTCTCCAGGCAACATCTTCCGGGTCACTTGCACAGTAAAGAAGTTCCTCTTCGTGTTCAGGTAGAACAATCATTAAGACAGAAATTCCCATTGTATAGCACAACAGCTGCTGCAGATTAACTCCCACGACCACCTTTTCAACCTTTCTAGGAAAGCATTTCGAATTTTGTACTTCCAAATGCTTACAGCTCATTCTATCAGAACAAGGCAAAAAAGGGAGAAAAGGCCCGGCCTTGGGACTGGTGTCAATACATGAATCAGAGGGATGAAGATCAGGGAAAGAAAAGGTATTTTTAAGCTACAGAATAATATTGGCCCAAAAGCAAATGAGTGTGTACTGCCTATGAATACACTGAGAGTCAATATTTGAGAATGTTCCTCGCTATTGAAGTAATCAAGTTTTTAAGTGGTGTTCCAGTAGGAGGAATGAGAGCAAAAAACTGCACTTCCTGTGAGGTGGAGTCTGAAGTGTATTATGTAAAGTGATGTCTGCAATAGCGAAAAGCTGAATTTAATGGCAAAAGGGCCCCAAAACATCATCAGATATTTCAAGTTGGATAACATACAGACCTCAGTCATATATATCTCTTCCTGATCACTGCTAAATTGGGTGTCGTGTTTCTACCCTCTTTTCATGGCAATATTGACTTTCAGGAGTCAAATAACTACTGTAAGCTGGCTGGGGAATGCATTTAGGAAGAAAGGCTAGGGTTGATTTTGCTAGAACATCCTTATCAGTGGAAGCAAAAAGTTACATCTGTTTTATGTTACTAACATGAAAGCTCCTCAAGGTATCCGTCATTCAGAACCCAGCAGGAATTTTCCAACTGAGGAGGAGAAAGAAAAATGTTTACTAAAAGACAGATTGCAAACATCAAGCTGCCTGTTCTGTAATTGATCTTTTACACTGAGAATATCCAGAAGATCTATACTTATGGTTAGACTGTTATTTGGAAAGCCAGTAAAATACATTCTGCTGAGAACTGCTTCATATTAAGCCTGCAACCTAGGGATCTTTTAAAACACAGCAATTACCTTGGATGTTC